GAAACAGACAAACAGACACAGACAGACCGACGGGCAGGCAGGCAACCAGCTAGACAAACAAAGAAATAAACAGCCAAACCAAAACCAAACATACACCCCACCAAAAAAATAAAAACCAAGCAAAAGGAAGCCACAAACACAGCACACACACACACAAAGAACGAAAACGGACACCGACACAGACTCAAGAACAACCCCCCAAACACGGACACAGACACAACACACCCACACAGACAGACGGACGGATGGACGGACGGACAGACACAAAGACAGACAGACAGACCGACAGACAGACGGACAAACAGACAGGCACAGACACAGACACAGACACAGACACAGACACAGAGACAGAGACAAAGACAGAGCCACAGACAGACAGAGAAACAGGTCAAACAGACAGACAAACAGGTCAAACAGACAGAGCAAACAGACTGATCAGACAGACAGATGAAACAGACAGATGAAACAGACGGATCAAACAGACAGACAGACAGACAGACAGACAGACAGACAGACAAACAGACAGACAGCCAGGCAGGCAGGCAGGCAGGCAGGCAGACACACACACACACAGACAAACACAGACACAAACAAACACAGACACAAACAAACACAGACAGACACAGACAAACACAGACAAACACTTGCAGGCCTTTTGCAAGTTTCCATTGGGTGGCGGTCCTTTTGGTGTCCTTGAGAGAAATTAAAAGTTATTGGCTTTTGTGACTCCAACAGTCCAACGCCATTCGTGCAACAGCTACACGACTTGCTCCGAAAACCTTTCTGCATAGCCGGGTCCTATTTTCTCTCCTGACTCATGCTGCAGCATTGGAAATCACATTCAAACCAACACCTCCATCCCCAGCATCAACTATCAAGAATAGACTTGGGCATGCCCCACATATCCTACGGTCATATCAACACCCGGTCTGAAATGAAACACGACATGGCCAAGGCACGGCACCCTCGTCCTACCATGTTGCGACCAGTGAGCCACTAGGGCCGCAGGAAAGGGTTGGAACCCCCAACGGCTTTGTCAGATCTGGGTGAATGATCATATTTCACCCCCTTAAAGGCTCAGGAAACTCGTGGAGGCGCTTAGCTCACATCAAGTTGGTTCTCTGAAGGCTTTTCAAAGCTGAGCTAAACATGAGGCAGTTGAGAAACCTCATGCTTCTCTCCTCTCATTGCGGTCATTGTTTCGACCGTTTCTGGGGATCATCAAAGGCCGAAACGGGGGTTCCTCTTCACCTACCATTTGGGGGTGACTGTGCAACTTTGCAAAATATTGGGTGGGGTCCGATGTTGAAAAACAACAACCATGCCGCAAAACGCTTCACGGGGGTGATCGGTTTTTCCAGAGCCATCCGTCCAAGGCACCAAACGCGCCAAACGCGCCAAACGCGCCAACCCCTCCCCCCCCTTTTGCCGCACCTGGAGCAGCTGGGTTTTCATCTGCGCCAGCTCTGTGGCTTCCTCTTCGACTCGAATCCCCGTGTCCACAAGGGCAACGGATGGCAGCGGTTTTCAGATCTAGGCCGTCCGGTCGGTTTCCGGATCCCCTGCTCCAAAAGTGCATAACTGGTGGAAACCGAACCACTCAACCAACGAAAACCCACGAAAGGCAGAGGAACACGAGGATTCGCCCGTTCCGAGCCGCCAACACCTCGGCTTCAAGTGCAGCTCCGAAGCCTTCTGCACGTCTAGCAGTCATTTTGCAGTCGAACATTAAAAGGCCCAAGAGTCACCGGCCTCCCTCCGAAAAAGAAGGGGTAAACCCTGTAAAACACCTGCAGGAAGTGGTCGGTCCAGAAACCGCCAAGATGTTTCGATGTATGGTGTGCTTCGAGGCGCCCCGAATTGGGGGAATCCGCGAAAAAATCGGGCGCCTTTCTCCTCGTGGGCTTTTTTTCCTCAGACACCAACGAGGGAACACACACCCAAAAAATGACCACTCGCGGCAGCGCGGCTTCATCGAGCCGCAAGGCCACTGGCAACTTTTGGGGCGGCCAACTGGCCGATAAAGCTTGCTCCTACATCCAGCAGGTTTGCAGCAATCTCTTTTCAGGCATTTCCTTTTGGAGCTCGGAGAGTTTTGTAGGGGGACCAAGATCGGGAAGGATGAAGAGGACCCCATCTCTTTTTCTGCCTTAGTACCACTTGTTCAAGTCAGAACATTGAATAGGTCCATTGGACCTAAAAGGAGGCGGGACTTCCAAACTCTCCACGTCTGCGCCCGAAACGGGTCGCGGCTCTCGACATCTGCCCGGCCTCCTCACAACTCTCGCCGAGCATGTCGCATTGTGCCGCTGCCAGCGCGAGCACCGATGCAGTGAGGAGGAAGCGGGACATGAAGGGGTTTCAGCCTAAGCTGTGGCGAAAAAAACACTTAACGTTCTGGGTGAAATATCATATTTTACCAACCTGAAACTTGCGGTGGTTGGGGGATATTCCCCACATAAACCACCATTTGGGGTGAGGTCGTGTGAGGTCGTTATAAATCACCCAGAACGTTGGGAAGTGGCGGGCTAGGAATTTGGCAAACACAAGGGTCACAGCCACAGTTCCAAATCGAAAGTTGCAAGGTGCATTGACACTGCCACGCTTCGGCATCGAGAACCCCCCCAAGCACAGCTCAAAAAAAAAACGTGAAAACAAGTTTAAAACATGCTAAACAAAAGGAACATCAAGGTTAAGCCATGTCGACACATCCGAGCATTCCGCAGCCAAGCCGCGGTTCAGCGGTATGGGGTTGACCACTGGCACAGCTTCGCTGTGAGAGCTGAAAGTTGCGGCAAAAGTGGCGAGCGCAGACCCAGGTGCGCAGAGGGAAGCCAGGAAACAAACAAAGGATGGACTGTATTGTTTGGGGGGGGGGAGGGAAAGCGCTTTGTTTTTTGGGCGGGGTTTCCCATAAAGCAAACCAAGGGCAGTATGGATATGGAGCGACATGGCACGACTGTCCGAGAGATGAGGTGAATGAAGGTGCCGTGAGCTTCCTTTGATGGCTTGAGTCCCTCATTGAGGCATCTACGGTTAGATCTGACGAAAGGCATCGATGCCTCTCACGACTTCATTGGATAGCCCCGCCCAACCAAATCAGGAATTATAGGGGCTGGGGGGGAGGGAGGGGAGGGGGAGGGAGGGGGAGGGAGCCCAAATAAGCCCTAAATATTGTTCACAATACAAAGGAACCACACCACTAAACATATATGTGTATATATTATATCTATATACCCTCCCACCAACTAACATGGGTTCGTGCAAAAAGGCCCTTTCCAAGAGGAAAGTCGTCTTTTTACAAGGGTCTGTGCACAAACCCATGTTGGCTGGTGAGAGGGTACATATATATATATATATATATGTATGTATATATATATATATATATGAATATATATATATATATATATATATTAATGTCCCCCTCAAATTCTAAGAGCTGGGCTGGAATCTGCTGGAATGTTTTTGGGTGTCCAAACCTGCCGAGTTCCATCCGTCGCTACTCTAGCGGCTTCGGGTCTTCGCAGGCCGAGCGGCGCAGTCCCGCAGGGCCTCGGAGACCGGAGGATGGATGGACGGCCGCCACTTTGGCTAGGTTGTCCAGATTTGGGAGGTTAGAGGTTAGGCTACCCAATTTGTTCAGGGCGTCTAGTTTAGTAGGGGAACCCAATCTCCCAACCAAAAAAGAAATGGGTGAGAAAGGGCACGAATTGCTGGGGGACCTGGCTGGGAATCAAGGTGGAGGTTGAGCACGGCTGGAGATTGTGAGCAGGTGCAGCATAGGCGCATCTTCGCAGTAATCCAGCAGTCAGGAAGATGTTGCATGAAAGATGCTGGCTGAGGATGTTTCCCACACAAAACTCACATAGGATAAGCGACACATAGTTTGCAAAAGGTCTCTGTTTAATTGGCATACGGAATTGTCATCCCTGTCGCGCATAACCTGCCATCCACCAAGCCTGTTGCGCTTCTCATCCTTCAGACATGCTCGGTGTGAAAGCGCTGCCAAAAACACAACACGGCAGCGCAACCATCAGCACGCAGTGAAGATCAAAGAGGCCCTTGCCTCCGACAACATGAAATCATCTCGGTTGGCCTCCGTTTGCTTAAGCCCCCGGAAAAAATAAAATTATCTCCAGTAGTGATAGATTCCCTTCAAAACCAACGGGGAAAAAATGGAAGTTGGTATGCAGCAACATATCCATGGCAACTCCACAAACGTCCGATGGATGCACATAGTTCTGTCACCAAAAGGAACCTCACCTTCAATTGGAAACCAACTATGTGGCTGTAGCTAAAACACACATGTAGAAACAATTGCAATTTGGACTATGCATCACCAAAGGCTAAAACCTGCGTCCCCCTATAGCTTCTTCAGTTTGAGCCACGCCCTTGCGATGTTCCAAACCGTTCCAAACCACCCGCTGGGCCCGTTGCGAAGCGCTCGCCTGCGGGGCGCTCCTCGGCTTGGATTTGGCCACAGCTCCCCCCCCAATCCCAGCAGGGGCCAAAGGAAGAATAAGCTTAAAGGCCTGCGGCAAGTAGGTTTCCTTTTGGGTGCCCTTCAGAGAGGGCCTCTTTGTGGGAAGGACCGGGTACACCCTAACCTGCACCAAGTGCTGAAGCAAACCTTGCCTGAACCAGCCGTACAAGGGACCACAGCAAAAATTCAACGATCCCATGACGTAAGAGCCCTGAATTGACCTATTGATCAGGATCCCTCCAATTGGTGTGGTGAATGAAGGTTCCCGTTTACCCTGCACAAGAACCAGCGTTCCAAGTCCAAACCACTGGGCTCCAAACCAACCTGACGGGTTACAATGAACTTCCTCCGTTAAGTTTGACTTGGAGGACAGCATGCCAACCCTGCCGGTGTTTGCCTGGGCTCCCATGACTCTTCGCAAATTGGAGCTCTGGCAACACATCATGCAAAGATATATTGACGTATGGTGTGTGTGTGTGTGTGTGTCTATTTTGTAGGGCACCATTCTTCTCATTGCGAAAGGGAACCCAAAGAAACACACCACTTTGGGGGGGTCGGTCTCCTACACAAGGCACACCCATAAAAAATGAGCATAGACCCTGAACCCGGCTTCAAGGGGGGCTTCAAGGAGGGCTTCAAGGTGGTTTGAAGGGGGGCTTGAAGGGGGGCTTGAGGGGGGGAGAGGTTAGAATAAGGGTACCCTTCTTTCTTTTGTCTCTATTTTAGTAGGCAAAAGGGCACTGCAAAAACCTAGGCAAAATAAGGCGCGCTTGGCGCCGAGTTGAGATGCCTCCGTCTTCGGCCAAGAAGCCAATGCGAGGCCTGGAAGGTGGATGCCGACCTTGGGCTCGGCCCCAGGTGCGCGCTCCTCGTCGAACGGCTCGAGCTTTCGGAGTTGGTACTCCCGTTTTGCTTGGTTTTGAAGAGGCGGCCAAAAGGAAACCGGCCAGCTTTATTTTACTATTTGTTTGTTTGTTTGTTTGTTTGTTTGTTTGTTTTTTTGGGGGGTCCGGCCCCAAAAAAACACCCCCACATGCTATTTGGTCAGGGAGTCAGAGGAAATGGCCTAGGCTTTGCGCCCAGGTTCATGTAGATAAACCCAAGAGCCAGCTGCTTTGCAAGGGAAATCCTCCAAATCGGCTGGTAGAATGACAGGCTCACCGGCCCAAACGCACCGTGCAAGTTATGGAATCCCACTTGGGAGGTGACTGCAAGGGAGGTAGGGGGGAGCACTTTTCCTCAAATTTGTCCTACGGTTCCTCAGGGTTTCTGGGCTGCCCTCAGATCCCGCTAAAAATGTGACTAACTTTTAGTGGGTCAAATTCGGAAACTACACCTAAACCAGCTGAAAGGCTAAAGAGCTGAGGAACCGGATGGCTGGCTTCGCCACCAAGGTTTTTTTTGGGGACCCCCCCTTTCTAGGAGTACCTTCCACTTCCATTCTTGGGATCCGAATCTTTTCAGGAATCAAAAGCCCAGGTTGGAAACGGATCCGGTTTTAGAACGATGGTTGAAAAGAACGGACAAGGAATCAACCCCGGGAAGGGTTCCCTACGGTTCCTTAGGCTGTTTTTTGGGGGCCTCCCCCTCGCTTTTTTTGGCGCTTCGGGGTCTGGGCGTGTTGTCGCCAAGTCGCTGCCTCGGCTTCTCCAGCCGGGCGGGGGACCACTGAGGCGGCGCGGCCCTGAGATGGAACAAGTGATCCGGAAATTCCCATGGCATGTTGGTGAACATGCTGCATTCCCGGCTTTTGGAGGCGAATTCTAACGCATTCCAACTACTTGGTTGACGTTGGAAGGGGAGCAAACATTTAAATTTTAGCAGTTAAGTGGGGATTTCCCACTAAACCACAATACGCAAAAATGTAAAATGCCTCCCAACGACAACCATGGTTTGTAGATCCAGCCCTGTATACAAGAGTACCAAAAGAGTATTAAAAAAGAACCTGCAGGGGGAAGAACTGGCGACATCCGCCAACAACGCGTCCAAACCGGTTTGATGCTACGTGTATACACACTATGATCGCAAGACAAACACATACTGTTGCTTAATGTGCAAACGTGTGTACACATGGATGGCCGGCCCCCTTTCGCGACCGGTTTCGAATCGCTATCGGTATCGAATCGAATCGGTTCGGTTTCAGCCAAAACGCACAGATGCATTTATTCGGGTCCGGAAAACGCATGCGTCACCCGTCGTTGTCCACCGCGTGGGCCTGAGTGGCGGGGCCCTGCTCCTCCTTCTTC